TTTCTCACTGAACCAGGTGTGTGAATTGGTGGTTGTGAATGGCACAATCCTTTAGATAAAAATAAACCTCAGGATATAATAGGACTCCACCCCCCGAGTGATGATCCACTCATAAGAGGCGGACATAAGAGAAGTTAGACGTATCTGACACAACTGAGAACATCTGTCATAGCAAGGCATCATGATTATTCTAGTCCTCAGCATCTATTTTAAATGTAATCTAGTTACAGGTAATGTCATGAACGTGTTAAATATATTTGATGAGAGTATTATACACTGCTCCTTTTACAATTTTATGCCACAAATTTTGATGTAATATTTTGTTTTGTAATTATATATTGTATCTTACTTTTATTGGTGTCTGTTCAACAGTTTCCTCCTCAAGTGATCAAGTCAACCAGACTCCAGCTAATATTTACACAACAGGAGAAGAAGCTAAAATCTACTGCTCACACAGTATTCAAAGCTATGAAATAATTCTCTGGTACAAGCAGTCAGAGGAAACTCTACAGTTGCTTGGATACCTGCGTTATGGCACAGGTTATCCAGAACCTGGAGTGAATGTGAAGATAGATGGGGGTGCAAATGTAAAAGAGAACTGCACATTAACGATCAAAGATCTCAAAGTGAGCAGCAGTGCAGTGTACTTCTGTGCTGCTAGTTACCACAGTACTGCACATCACTGCACCTCAATACAAAAACCTATCAAACATGTGTTCTTAATCTGTTTATTACAGCCTCTCACACCTGGAATCAGCCATTATAACCAATGTTGGTCTCACAAAGATCAGATATTACAACAAAAGGTTCCTTATAAAAAAAAAACCCAATGCAACATTTGAGCTGCCACTTCCTGTAATAGAGGCCAATCTCGATTGTTAAATATATCTGTAGAGGATTATTATTAGCTTTTGACTATGAATAAAACAGTTTAAAACAAAAAAAAAAACAACTTTTTAAGATATATTAGTTAAGTTTTAGATGTTTAACCATTTAAATACACAAGACTTACGTTTCATACAATACTAGAAAACTAGTGATTAATTACATTCACTAAGATGAAGAAACAAGTTCACTTTCAAAGATTTGTGAAATCAGACCTGAAAATTCTGAATTAGTGTTGGACTTTTAACAAACCAACATCTTATACTGCATTAAAATGTACAGCTATTATAAAACCTTTAATCATTTTGAATTACTACAACAAATGGTGATTTGTGATGATTTGCTTCCTGTTGTGTAAGGGTGGTATGCTTTTGACCATAGAGCTGCAGACGGGAAGTTGAATGGTTTGGTCTGTGTCATTAACAGGAGAGTTTCCTCTCCTAGTGTAACCTTGGTGATTGCACATGTATTTCTTTTTAGGGTGTGTCTAATTTGTGTGGATTATAATGTACATTTATCTTGCATACTAGATTTTGCAATATTATTTTATGATTTTACCCTTTTATTTTATTATAAATTAGTAATTACTTTATTGTCACTTACTTAAATTTATAATTTTATGTATAATATTCAAGTTATTTCTTATGGCATTTTGTAAGGTCACTTTGGTTCTTACCCAGTGTTTACGGTGGGACTGTTTATGGTGTGACAGGTCCTTGTGCCTTGTGCATTGCAGAGTTGATATAAAATGTTGAGTCCTGCTATGTTGGTGTTTATTTTAGATCATTTCTAAGCATTTTAAACTATAGCAATACACCCACAGCCTGGAGAGTCTGGAAAACAGTCTACCACAACCAAAAATCGGGGTTACATTAACTTAAAATAAGATTGAAACACAGCACCATTTAGACTGATGTTGAATTCATCATTGCCTTTGCAATATACTTCTGTGCTTCTTAATTACTACAGCTTCTTCATAATCCTGCAGCTTAATACAAAAATATCCCTCTGAAGTTTTCATCTATTCTTCTCACAGCTCAAGACACCTGTAACATTTCCTGTCATAAGGTGGCAGTATATCTTTAAGTTTCACAACCAACCAGGTATGTGAATTGGTGGTTGTGAATGGCACAATCCTGTATATGAAAATAAACCTCAGACTATAATAGGACTCCACCCACTGAATGATGATCCGTTCACTCATAAGAGGCGGACATAAGAGAAGTTAGATGTAATCGACACAACTGAGAACATCTGTCACAGCAAGGCATCATGATTATTCTACTCCTCAGCATCTATTTTAAATGTAATCTAGTCACAGGTAATGTCAAGAGTGCTTTAAATGCATTATATTATATAGTTTTTTGAGTATTATACACTGCTACTGTTATGACTGTATGCCACATTTTATGATGTAATTCTTCATTGGTACTGTGTCTTACTTTTATTGGTGTCTGTTCAACAGTTTCCTCTTC